TTTTGAAACCTAGGCTCTTGTCTGGTATTTCTTTGAATTTCCTGGTTGTAATAGACATACAACATAGATTGGATTTAGTGTATCCATTATCAATACTAAAGCTATTATGAAAAACTAATGTACACCTTTTTGTATCTGTACAAAGAAATGTGATTAAAACAAATACAGTAGCAACATCCATTGGATACTTGCTTGTCTGTAAAATTTCTTTCTGTCTATATTTATAGGCTTGCCAATCACACCTGGTAATAGGGCTACTTGGGATGCTCAGCTACTCAAGATCCCTGCAGTGTCTCCATCTATTATCAACTGTGGAATTATTAAAGTGGAGTACTATGTAAAGGTATAGTAAGCTGTGATTTATGTAGTTGAAAAAATTACTAGAATAGAGGTAGGAAAGATGTTGTGAATTCATTTTAGTCTACAAATTTTGAATTGTATTTCCAATTATATTTGTCTAATTGAAGTTTTCACTAATATTAACCATGGATGAATGAAGTTGGGCTATATCAAAATTATTTGCTTTGAAATAGGCACATTTCATGTGTTTGTTTTCTTTAACTTTCAGGTAGCTCTCCACATTCCAGGGGCTTACAACTTGTCAGTCCATTTGCCAATAGTGATTGGAACTGTTCCTTACAGAAGGTTTTCGCCATACATGGTTTCCTATCCTAGAGTCATTGAGGAAGTGGGGGTTTCATATTTTGATAGCAGAATGTTACCAGTCCCACCCCCTTACAGAGAGATGTCTCCTCCTCTTCCTGCAATTGAAGGTACTAATTTGTCCCATAGTTTGACACTAGTATACATTCTTTCTTTCCTTCAGTATTTATTTATTTATTTATTTATTTATTTATTTATTTATTTATTTATATCTAAATCCATAGGTAAATGTTTTCAGGATTATGCCTGATTTCAGGATATTCAGTCTTCATTTTGATCTTTTTTTTTTCATATAGTCTAAATGCGATGAAAATTTGCAGGCTACATTTTCAGAATTTTTAGTTTTTACAGTGTCTAAAATTGATATTTGTCATTAATTTTTTTGAGTATAAAAAGGCTAAAGCTATTCAGCAGATTTTATCATTTTATGGAAAATGTTTTTAAAAATGCTGAATGTAAAACTGAAATCAGATCAGTAAACTTTTGAGTTATTCTATCAGGATCCCAGTCCAGAAATTGGTTGAGCAATGATTCATGAGTCTGAGTAAATGACTTTTTTCTTATATTAGAAAAATGCAATTTGGCAGGAAGATATTGGATAGGATACCTTTAAATTTAAATGATTTCACATTTAGAATTGCACAATAATGAAATGGTTTTCCATAGCTATATTCTGGGTGTTATATTCAGCTCCACCTACATATGCCGAGACATACAGCGGTGCAGTGGACATCAGAGATGAAGATGACGATGACAATAGAGGGGTCAACATGGGGGACTGGACATACACACCTATGTATACATATGTCTATGGGTACAGATACAGACCACCACCAGCCTACTCTGAGGTGACTATGGCAATTTGTATAATTTTTATGACAGTTAAGAGAGGCACCATTGGTTATGTACCAGTTTTCACTCTGTGAATTTAAGTCATTTTTTCATATCAGACCGTGATAAATTCTTCTCACAAGAGGTTGCTTTTGTGCTGCATGGATATATTTTTAATTCAGTAATTTTAGAGTCAGTGATTTTAAGGGATTTAAAAGATTTTCAGAACTTCTCAATACTTATTGAGTGCACATTTGAGGATCAGAGATAAGATACCAGTTCAGGGTCAGGGATGTAGTGATAATGGACGTTTTCCTCACTACTTTTCAACCTCTGGCTGTGGTCTGTTTAACTGTTCCTTGTGCTCTTTATCCCTTGTTTAAAAAGGCTTATATGCACTAACAACTTCTAAGGCTTTAATTGTCGCCAACATTTTCTCTCTTTTTTTTTTTTTTTGGTTTGGTTGCTGTTCAAGTTATAACCACTGTTGGGATCCGTTTATTTTACAGATTGACCCCAATCCTGTCACAGAGGACCAAGCATCCAATGTTGCTGAACAAAGCAGCAACACCAGATTGTGAGAATGAAAACTTGAATCAGCACATCACAATGATTAACCCTGGATGGGGTTTTATGAAATGGATCAAAATTACCAATGAAAGACAACTATGGGTAATTGTTGTCCTTTTGAAGAGATTCCATTAAATACACTTCTTACCACAGCATTTTAGAATGCATTGAGACTTATTTTGGAAAACTGATCAGAGATTTGAAGCAAATCTGTTACAACATGACATGATAGGTGCTCAGTACTTTTTATTGGATATTATAAGCATTATAAGTAATATTTAACTCTGTTGTCATAATGAATATTTGATTGTATTAAAAATGTAAGTATTAAATTATTGCCAACATAAAAGTATGGCTGTTAGGATAATGTTATATAAAAGAAATCGTTGACAGAAGATTTAAGGTTTAACTGATGACATAACGTTAGAAATTTATGACCTGATCATTACTACACAATAAACATGGTTAAATACAACACAGACCAATAAAAGGATAAACCTTTTTGCTATTAACCTAAATACTACTGCTCACGATTTCCATTTTTCTTCAAGCATGTATCTCCCTTGCATAGAATGTCCTGACATGTAGTAGAGTAAAATACACTTGATTCAATGTTGTGTGATTTCACAGCAAACTATTAACCAATTTGTTGATGAAGATAGTAAGACTATTAATAATCTTATATCTTACATTTTAGTGTCAATTGTGTTTGAAGTGTTTCATGTAATCATTTGTTGCATATTTGGACATCTTTATTTTAATTTTTTTTTCAAAGGAAGGTGAGTTTATATTTTGTATATTATTTGTTTTTGCACTTGTTTTTTTTTTTTTTCTTGTTGACTAAGATCAAGATGGCAAAAATTTAAAAACTTTATATGCTGGTTTGTAACTATAATGACACAAAATGTACTGCAGAAGGTTTTGCAGAGATGAAATCTGTATTTTGTGGAGAAAAAAAGTAATTGGAATTTGCAAATTAATTTCATTTGATAGGCAACATGTTAATGTAAGTTTGTATTTATATAGCCGAATGCCAGATGTTGGAGAGGCAGTTAGTTTGAGAAAATCAGTATTGGGTTCAACCCAGTTTAAGGCGTACAGTGCCAATTAGACCTTTATATACAAGGGGAAAAAGATTATTTTGGGGAAATTTCAGCACTTTTAGTCTACCAAGGTATACACTATCCATAGCCATTGAAAAAATTACAATTTATGAACTTCTTTTCGACTTTAAAATTTCAAACTTTTACTGTCAAAAGTGACAAATGACCAGTCTGCATCTTCATTACCTGAAGACTCAAAAACTAGAAACATGCAACCTAGTGTTAACAAACCTGAATTCTATGGGCAGTTGGGGATATGGTCTACCTTGGTGAAGAAGGGTGTTGAAATTTCCAGGCAAATAATACTTTACTCTGTGAAAGTCTCATGCGTGGTTTGATGGGGGCACATATCATTGGCACATGTAGTGACAGTAAAATATCTGCTGGTATCATGCAGGTCCATACAAAATGTCTGAAGCATTGAGATAATGGAGAAGCAATCTGTAAAAATGTTTGTCCGAAAGATATAGTGCATATTTTTGTTATGTATTTATCATTATTTGTTCACTTTGGTAACATTATTTTGCATAGTATTTTTAAGTTTTGTAGCATGTTTTGAATACATTTAAGTAACATTTTGCATTGTTAACTTGCCTGGTAGCAATTATTATGTTAACAGTCTTGTATAAGAGGTGTACTGTTTACTTCACCACGCCATTTGCTTGCACATCTGACAATCTGATATCATGTACTGTATACACATTAATGCCACTAATGTGCTAGTCAAAATAAAAAATGTGCAATATTTACCAACAGTGTTTCTTGTCTCGATAATTTTTTTATCACACTCTGTTCACAGAAAAACATGACAGCATCAGAGAATTGTGCTTTAAACATTCTGGCAGTCGTCTTAATAAAAGTCCTCAGCAAAGTCCAAACACAATTCAGGATTCTATATTATCTATCTACATAAAAGGTCATATGTATATATATAGAGAAAGAGAGAGACGGAGAGAGGGCTGTTTTCGTGTAAATGACAATATTTACTTCTCACCCCAACCCCAGAACCCGTTGAGGCAGATTGTTTAACTCCATCTTCAGCTAAAAGTATACTTTTTCATTTTAGTCATTAGAGACCCAGTCTGATTATGTCCTCCTCATTATATGGTTGTATGCTTTTTGTTAATCTTTTTTAAATAAAAGACCATTTGGTTAATTGTAGTAGATGTAGATTATCAAAACGTGACGTTTTTTTCCCCTAAAAGTTGACCTCTTACCATGAAACCTCCGTGTACGTAGGTCATATGCTGCCCTGAGCAAACAACCAAACAAACTTCTTCTGGGGTTCGACCCCCCCCCCCCCCCCCTTTCCGTCTACAGACCTGTTAATTTTGGTAATTAAAGAACATAAAAGATCACAGGAACTGAGGGAGGTAACTCCCTACCCCCCCCCCCCCCACACACACACACACACACGCACACACGAAAGTTTTTTTAAACCATGCCAGTTCTAAACAGTGAAAAGGGGGACTATGGAGCCCTGCATGCCATCTTCTTTCAAGCAAATATAAGAAGTAGTTAAAATATTTAAGCAAATGTAAAAAGTAACTAAAACATTAAATCACACCAAGTATATTATCCTTTCGTTATCCTTTCTCCTTGGAAAATTAATGCTACCAAAAAACTGGACAACTCCACATAAATATTTATAGCAAAAAAGTATTATCACTTTATCTTTATTGTCATCATCTGTGAAACAAGAAATGAAATGAAAGTTTCTTCAAAGTGCATTGTGGATCAGTGTATATTGTGAATAAGTGTTCCAGTGTAAGCGGACAAGGTCGTCCAATGATGGCCTTGGGCAGGTTTATAAACTTCAGGTTGATATCATGTCAACAAGATGCAAGGACACTGTCAATAATAATTGGGGGAGAGGCATGCGTGGTTTCCCTCCAAAAACTATTATAGCCGTACATTGATTCTTCCCTCCGAGGTAAATGCGCGTTTTTTTCTGTTTAAACAAAAGAGTTTAGGTATGAAAACGCTGAATGCATTTCAAACGTAGGTGTATATACAATGCAATAATGAAATTTGGGTCTCATTCTCATACGACAACCCGCGTTCAAACTGACAGGATGCTGACGACAGCAACGCCCCCAGCCGTCAATCTAAGATTGGAAGTCTAAGAGCGGGCAATTGTGAAGCGGGATGGACATGTTGCGTTTCACTCCAGAGGAGTACAAAGGACGCGAAGTGAGAGCGATTTTCTTCGGGCAACCGCCTTCATATTTCATGTGATCCTACGCCAATGCATCGCACCTGAGGATAGTTTCTTTACTAGTACAAAACATCGAATGTTTCGTTTTTTTCTCCATGGTGTGCTTCTGTGAATTCGACCCTTCAATCCATGCGGACTCTTCGCTCTGGGAAATGTACACGTACAAATAACACTCAGCTCTTAGCTCGGACCTCGAATAACCGCCGCAGAAAAATTAATCGTAAATGGACTGAAATCCAAGCTACTGGAGATGGGTAAGTGCCACCATGTCATACTCTTTTCATTTCTGTCATATTCCTCTTACGCCCATGTTTCTAGGTCGTTCTTGAAAGTTGAATGCCCTTCGAGGCTAGAACAAAACCTTCATATGCCCTATTTAGGTCACGCTTGTTTGGTTGTCGTGTTTCTCTTCTAAGGCTGATGTGCATTTTCTCTCAAATGTGAGTGAGTGTTTTTCCCTTTTGTTTATTGTTTTTATGTTCAGACACGTGTCTGTACATATACCCTTCACCTGCGTCTGTCGTCTCCGTCGTCGCTGTCGTTGCCGTGCACTTTAACCGATAACACGATAAGTGGAAAACCTTTTTACCTTTTGGCTTGAAACATACAGAACTGATGAATATTCATTATACGCAGGTCAAATTCGAAAATCAGCATGATCAGGCAATTTTCATGGAAGTTATGCTGCTTTTTTCCCTTTTTTTCAGCATATATACAACACCGATAACACGATAAGTGAAAAAATGCATTACCTTTTAGCTTGAAATTTACAGAACTGATGAATATTCATAATATGCAGGTCAAGCTTGAAAATCAGCATGATCGGGTCATTTTTTATAAAAGTTATGCTGTTTTTTTTTTTTTTTTCACTTTTTTTCCAGCATATATGCAACACCGATAACACGATATGTGGAAAACCATTTTTACATTTGGATTGAAACTTACAGAACTGATGAAAATTCATAGTACACAGGTCAAGTTAGAAAATTGGCATGATCAGGCCATTTATATAAAAGCTATTCTGTTTTTAAACTTTTTTTCAGCATATATGCACCACCGATAACACATTTCAAGGAAAATCAATTGGCCAATTGTCTGGAAATTCACAGGAGTGATCAGTCTTACTGATATACAGATTTAGTTCGAAAATAAGCTTGATTGGGTAGGTTTTGTTGAAGTTATGCCTTGTTTTTGTATATAAGTGTTTTTTTCCTCAGATTTAAATCTTAAGCATGTTAACAGTCTCATTTTTTAAAACTAATTAGATATGTAAAGGTGTTCTTTTGACATTTTCTGCTTCTTAACAATATTGTTAGTTGATTATATAAAAATGATGGTAAACCTGTTATTGTGTATTGTGTAATAAAGTTTCTTTACAGTTTGTCAGATTCAATCATTCACTATGTTCAGAATCTCAGAATGGAGCAAATAGGGCTTTTGAAATTGTTCTATTGATATTTTTCCTTTGTCAACAATTTTCTTAGTTGATCATTTCAAAATGACAGTAAATTGCTCATTTTGTTTTATGTAAAAAAAGGTGTTGAAAATGGAAAGAAAATCATTTCAGTACAGTTATCTTTCGTTTACATTTTGGTATTTTGAAGGTGTGACTCTGAACTTCCATGACCTTGAAGACCTTTCCATGTCACATTTGTTAAATATCCATTATCNGAAATTCTCATTTTTCTCATTCTGGCATTTTCTAAGTATGAACTTGAACTCTCATGGGCCTGCTTTTACTTTCATCGGTATTACCTGTTTTGCATAATTTAAATTTGATGTTGACTTTGCAGTTAAGCGTAATATATTATTGCATCAGAATTGACAGCATCCTATTTTGTGCATTATTACTTTGTGCTTTTCTTAAGATGTGACTTATGGGCCTGAAAGACCTTTGAGAGGGTCAGTCTGTAAATTTCCCTTGGGTATCACTAAGCTAAGTTCAGAGTTATAAAGTCATTTGCCTAATTAATAGGTTATTAAATGAGATTACATAAAGCACAGTTGTTGATATTTCCCTGTAAACTCCCAAAGATTAAGCCAGTCTGCTAGATTAATAATAAGGAAGCAGTGATAATTATGCAGGTAAATTTTGCAATATCTCTGGGTCCACTCCTGTTATTGACCATGTTACCTGTTGTGCATGATTAAAATTCAGTGTTGACTGACAGTGCTATTATAAGCATTATTTATTATTGCATCAAAATTGACAAAATGACCTATTTTGCATCTTTATTTTCTGTTTTTTTGTCTGTACATTTGACAGCTTTGCTGCCTTGGTTCATGTTTGTATTTGTATGTTCGTTGCCGATGCCGCCGAATCTCCTCTTTTCATCCCCTCGCTTTTCGGCACGAATGTGATGACCATTAGTAGGCTGTTTTAATTGTATCGTCTGCTGATGGCCCGCGGCTTTCTTTGAGGGGACGTCTCGATAGTCCGAAGGTTCATTGGTCCGAAGGTTCATTGGTCCGAAAAGTGGTAACATTTTCATCGATTTTTTAATCAAGGGTTCATTGGTCCGAAGGTTCTATAGTGAACATTCGGACCAATGAACCTTCGGACTATTGAACCTTCGGACTATCGCTACGGCCCCTTCTTTGAAACCTTTTACGAGGAGCTAAATCGGTCTACTACTAAAGATAAATTAAGCGACAAGTCTTAATTGTTGTTATAGGGATCGGTGTTGCTTACCCAGGTTCAGAATAAAACATTGTCATTGAGGCACGTGAGAGGTAATATAGCAACAAGTCTGAAATTTCCTCATACCGTTAATAGGGGCCTAATATTGTTTAAATTGTAAAATAATTATTTTTGTCTCTCCTCTGTCTAACTCTCACAGCAAAATAGTGTTTGGTGAATTGCACACGGTTAAATTTTAAAACCTGCAACTGCGTTCATTTTTTTTAAATATATCTAGGCTAACGATCGAAATACAAGTTCCCAAGACTGGTAAAGCGCGAGTGGCGTCAAATGTCCCAGCTGGCTGCCTGCCTACATAGACGTAAACGGTAATTAGCTTTCTTGAAGCATGAGATTTTTTATATTCAAACAGGAATTATATCTACTGTGTAGGAAAAAGTGTCCAATATGGGCACTGTGACTTTCAATACCATCGACCCGTATGCTTCTACACTGCCATGGCCGATTATGATGTGAGATCACCTCAGATTTGGTCTTTCAATCGAGAATGCCACATAAATCTAGCTTTAATATCTAATATCTAAGTCTTGCATCGTTGATTTAATGACTTAATTATTAACTATAAATTTATAATATAGACCCTATTGATTCATTTAATGCTAAATTACAATCGCTTTGTGGCAAATTTGCAGGCTTAGGCCTATTTTCACCTCAAAAAGAACAAATTACACGAGTCATTCATATTTTAATAAATTCCCCGTATGTTTCAGTTTTAATAAATATACATCAAAATTATATTTTATACAAATATAGCAACATACTGTGCTCACAGAAAAAAAAAATGAAACTTAGAATAAGACATTTTTCATAAAAAAACAAAACAATTACAGACTTGACATTTAATATGGAATATTTCAGTTTCGAAGGTATGCCTAGGTAAAAATGCGTTCTTTTTTTCACAAAATGAAGAAGTGTGTAGTCAGGTGTGTCGCTACCAATTAACCGAATACCAGGTTTGTTGCGCTTCTGCATTATGTAATATGCCGTGATTTAACTGAGTAGTGCTCCTTTGGGCAGGTCAAAGCTTGGCTTTGGCAACGCATGGTTCTGTCAAAAAAGTATCCATATGTCGGCAACTACTGCATAGAAGAATTTGAAATTGTGCATGCAAGTGGTCGGTTTTGCAGTGTGTAAAATGAGCTATGCAGTTAATCTGTGGCAGAATGGAACGCAAAATACAGGCATTGCCAAACAGATAATTGCACCAAACGAAACGGTCCGCACAGTTTTACAGAGTAATGCCCAGACTGATGTACCTTCACAGAGGCCACACCCAATCTATTGAAATCTTACCACCAGGGTACAGGACCCACTGTTTTTCGGGATACGCTGTTGCAACTAAACAAAAACTAAACAAAAACCACCCAGTCCGTTCACCAAAACGCATTTTTCAAGGCCCTTAGCGAACACCAAACTGGTTTTAGGAGGTTAGAATACGAGACGACCTCCGAGGAACCCACTGTAAACAGCAAAACATCGTTGTATTTTTCTCTAATGAATTTGGGACCATAAACGCTTCTGGGTTGAACACTGAAACTTCGTGGCTTTCTTTATTGAGGTCAGATTTCACCTGTACCGCTCAACAGTCAAAACAGAGTTTACAGACATCCAGAAGAGGCCAACGACGAAGCGTGTGCCGCGTCTAAAGTGGGTAAGGTCATTAACAGCGTCAGTATTTGGAGTGGATACCACATTGGTGCCAAAACACCAATGGTAGTCATCGACGAAAACCTGAACCAGATCAAATAAAGAAATAATCTGGGAACCACTTCACTCTTGGATCCAAGCTAAGGTTAGTAAATTTTATTTTTTTGGGGTGGTGGGATGGGTAAATTGAAAAAATGTAATCTTGTTTTTCATTTCTTTTTACAGGACAAAGAAGATGATGAGCGACCCCACCCGGAGATGGACTTCACTCTTGGATCCAAGCTAAGGTTTGTAAATTTTATTTTTTGGGGTGGTGGGATGAGTAAATTGAAAATATCTAATCTTGTTTTTCATTTCNGACCCCACCCGGACATGGACTTTACTCTTGGATCCAAGTAGTTGTTGCATATATGCTGAAAAAGTGAAAAAACAGCATAGCTTTTATAAAAATGGCCCGATCATGCTGATTTTCGAACTTGACCTACATATTAGGAATATTCATCAGTTTTGTAAGTTTCAATCCAAAAAGTAAAACAGTTTTTCACTTATGACGTTATCGGTGTTGCATATTTGCTGAAAAAAGTGAAAAAACAGCATAACTGGCCTGATCATGCTGATTTTCGAACTTGATCTGCATATTATGAATATTCATCAAAACATCGAACCAAAAGAAAAAATGGATTTCCAGTTATCGTGTTATCGATAAAAGTGCACGACTGCGGCGATGACAGATGCAGGTGACGACTTTATGTACAGACACATCTGTTTCTTTGCTTAAAAACGGTTTTTCACTTATCGTGTTATCAGTAAAAGTGCACAGCGACGATGCTGACGTTGGCGACGACAAATGCAGGTGACAGCTTTATGTACAGACACATCTGTGTCTGTAAATAAAAATGAAGGTATTGATGTTAAACTCTGTATTTTTATTTTTAACATTTGTTACAAAGGTGGGCAGTTTTCCTTAAGGAAGTTTTCCTCATTCATTATAGGATCCTTTGTTCCTTGGCTGTTGAAAAAAAATGTATCCAGAATGAAGTAATTGGAAAGTATTTACTGCGTATTAATTAGACAATCTGCACCAAACTGCAATTTAAGCATTTGAAAATAAACAATAAAACAGGTTTCTGTTAATTCTGTATTTGATTTTTGTAATGTTTCATTAGAAATAAAGGTTAAAGCTTTCTGGTGTCATATTGTCTAGTTTGTATTCATTGCTACACAAAGAATGGATTGGATTGAAGTGAGACGGAATGATGCTTTTTTATCCCTGGGCCTTACACATTATAGTAAAATTACCTTTGTATGGCATTACAAAATTTTTCGTTTTGGTGCCCCTCCCCTTTTAGCAAAATCATTAGTGTGCCTGTGCCATGTCTGCTACAAAATGGCACTGATCGAAGCAAAGAAATACCTACAAAGTGGATGATGTCTGAGAAGAGGCTTATAAGCCTGATGCTATTTACACATTTATAAAGATCAAACAGATGGTACTGATTCAAATGGCTTGTAAACAAGTAAATGCTTGAACTACAAAACAAAGGGCCGAAAAATAAGAATGTTGGTTAATCTTGGCAATTTCTAGATTTTTAGGAATATTTCCAATTTTTTTTTTTTTTGACATAAAAGCAGTGGCGGATTTAGAAGGGGGGTCAGGGGGGTCCTGACCCCCCTTAGATTTCTGAAAAAATCACATCAATATTCCCTTTTCAAATTAGAATTCTGTTTAGCTGAATTATGTGCTTAGTGCATGTCCCTGTCTATGTTATAAGTCATCCATGGCCTCAGACTTAGGGACCATTCCCAGACCCTATCTTACTAACTGTGGTACAATCTATTTTTGTGGGGATTCTCACTAAATTGCAATCAACTTAAGTGACTTAGATATCTGTCACGCTTACTGAAGCTGCTAGAAGGGGGTCATTAATTATCGTTTATCCTCTGCTTCTGAGCCACCCTTTAACAGGCAGATGGGGCAGGGTATAGTTATATAAGGCTTCGTTCACATGGAATGTCTATTGTCTAAAAATCTATTTTCTATTCGCGCTATCTTATGATCACGGTCTGTGCCCTGAATATCCCGCCGCGTAATTACTGGCAGCNTTAAATGGACTCGCATGTATGCTCGTTTAATCATTAGTAAAAATTATCCTCTTTCGCGAATAATACCCCGAATAGAAAATAGAATTTAGAAAATAGACATTGCATGTGAATGAAGCCTAACATCAAGCAGTCAGATTGGATTCTTTCCCATAAGATCTGATACTTTATTTTTGTATACCATTTTAGATGCCCCTTATATCAGAGGGTAATGGATACCCAGGGAGGATGAGAATGGCACGAGGCACACTTCAGATACACTTTTATCTTGGCGTTTTTATCGTCTTTAGAGTCTGAATTAAGAAATGTGAGAAGCTTTACAGGAAATGAATATTTTCAAATGCTTTTTGGCATTTTGGCAGGAAAATCCCATGCAGTGGCCCTTTTAAATGCAATATAATCAAAATTATTGAGAAGTAGAGACAAAAAAAAAAAAAAAAAACCATTAACATAATACATTAAAACTATTTTAAAAAAACAAACTATCAAACAATTAAGATTCTTATTAAATATGAACAACGCGTATTGATTATTTCCTCCTAAAAAGTGCTTTTTAAGTGATTCGTACTTAAAATTGTGAAACATTTCTCAGTTTCTCTCAGTAAATTAATTAATTAACAAAGCTGCTGAGTTTTAAGACATTTTTCTCACAACCTCTCTCACCACACCTACTAGAACCACAGAATACAAGTATACTACAAGACTTCCACTTTCTTCCGTAAGGGTGTACATGGGCAACATCCTTTATTTAAGATCTTAAAAAAATAAGGCCCTTTTAAGATTGGGGGGGGGGGGGGGGGGTTTACCCTCTTTCTCAAGCCTTGATCTAACGATCAAAATGGTTAACTGGCAGTGTGAAGTCTTTGTTTAGGTGACCCCCTTATGTAATTTTTTACAAAATTTAATTTTTTACAAAATTAAGTTTTTGTCTATCCAAGGACTCTATAGTGATATTTGTCTGCATCTGCCATTTTACATTAAACAAGCAAAAAAATAAAAAATAAAATAATAATAATAATAATAATAATAATGAATAAGTAAAAAAAATTTGATAATAATAATAATAATAATAATAATAATAATAATATATTTATTTCGAGTCTAAAATCCATAAAATGTTCAATAGACTGTACAACATAAAATACACATAAGATTATAGATAAAAATGTTTGAGATATATATTATATAAATCAGAGCTAGACTAAATTGTAATAAACAGTAACTAAAAGTAAAAAATCCAAGGTTTCATGAGTAAAATGTCTTAAAATGTGAGTTTTCAATTCCTTTTTAAAAGATTCTTGTGATTCTATTCATCTAATAAAAATTGGTAACTTATTCCATTCTACCGGTGCAGCTACACAAAATGATATGTCACCATATGTTTTTAACTTTGATTTGGGAACTTTCAGTAAAAGTTTGTCACCAGACCTCAGGGATCTTTGAGGACTATAATGTTCGACCAGATCAATTATATATGGTGGAGGTTATAAAAAGTAGCATGTGTAAAAACTACAACCTTAAATAAAATTCTGGCCGTAACTGGTAACCAGTACAACTGCTTTAAAATTGGAGTGGCACGGCAATTCCTAGGCTGTAGCATTAAAAGCCGTGCTGAGATATTCTGGATGAGTTGTAATCTTTTGATCTTATCATCTGGACATCCATATAATACAGAATTGCAATAGTCCAACCTGAAAGTTACCAATTGAGTGTATCACAGTAGCAGCAGATGATTGTTTCAGATATTTCCTTATGATGCCAATATTCCAAATGTTGAATAAACAAGACCTCGTAATGTTGGAGATCTGTTTGACTATTGAAAGTGTAGAATCAAAGTATACTCTTAATTTTTTTACATGGGGGGAGGATAATGGCACACTAGCTCCAATTTTAAGTTGCAGGTTGTGAGCAAGGCTGTTTTTGTGGGGTTGGGTAATGACTAAAAATTCTGTTTTTCCATCATTTATCTTCAATTTGTTTGAAATGAGCCAACCTCCGAGATCTGATATGCAGTCAACAATGGTGTTCCCAGACAATGCTGGATCATGGATGTTGCAAGACGTGTACAACTGGGTATCATCTGCATAAAACTGATAACCTATCTTATGATAACGCAGAATGCATTGCTCTAAGAGGTAACGTGTAAACACAAAATTTTAGAGGGCCAAGAACGCTCCCCTGAGGAACACCAAATAAAAGCTGTGAGAGTTCAGAAAACACACCATTTATATAACAGTAACTTGATGCATTCTCCCGGCCTTATCTCTAACTCCTACACACTGTTCTAGAAATGTCAATAAAATATTATGGTCTACTGTGTCAAAGGCAGCAGATAAATCTAATAGTACCAATAACACAGCAGAATGTTTGTCAACGACGTTTAACAAATCATTTTTAATTCTCAAAAGTGCAGATTCAGTGCTATGATTGAATTTGTAGGTTGACTGCATTTCCTCAACAAGATTGTTTGCTTCTAAATGCTTAAATAGTCTAACTGCTATAACCCTCTCTACTTTCTCTCTACGACAAATTGGAAACAGGATGATAGTTTACCAAAAGATCTGTGTCAAAGTTGTCCTTTTTGCGGAGTGGGTGAATTATTGCATATTTAAACTTTTTTGGAAAAACACCCACAGTGAAACATTTGTTGATAATTTCCACAATGAAATTTATTACAGCCAGAAGAATCTGAACCAATAATGATGATGGGATTGGGTCTAACATGCATGATGTCTTTCTGGAACTCTTTGCTATCTTCGTTACTTCACAAGTGGTTGTTGGTTCAATAGTGATGAGTGACTGCGGATCTTGTAAAAGTTCTGACAAAGGTGGATGTGATGGCGTAGTCACAGTCTTTCCTAATTCAGAAAGTTCAGCATTGACATTGCCGACTTTAGACACTAATGTTATTTGCAAGATCTTTCAGTGAATCTGTTTTGGGGTACTTAGAGCAATTGGTTTTTCCCAGAATAGTGTTGACAGTTCTAAATAAAGCCTTGGTATCACCATCACATTCTTGTATCATATCAGAATAATTTACTACCTTCCCCTACCACTTCCCCTCCGCCTTCCTTCTATCTCTCTTTGCCTCCAGAATGTGATCATTCATCCAAGGTTGCAGGTCTTTTTTAACAAAAGTTTTAGTTTTGACAGGCGCATGGTTGTCAAGTGCAGTTGTTAATGTCCTGTCATACAGAAGCACACATTCCTCAGGACCCAAATTAGCAAAACTTAAATCACCCAGCTGTGATGTAACCTGTTATTGTAATTCATTCACATCAATGCCCTTGATTTTTCTGAACAAGACTTTCTCCTTACTGGGGTTCGGTCTGCCACATCTAAGCATGGTGTTGATAACATGATGGTGAGAAAGTAAATGCCCTACCTCACATGATGTTACAAGTGAATCACTTTCCCTAGCCAATACCATATCAAGTGTACGGCCGCGAACATGGGTGGGATCTAACATGTACTGTGTAAGTCCAAATGAATCAATTAACGAAGCAAACTGCTTGGTTTCAGAAATTTGTTGATCATCCCAGTGTATATTTATGTCGCCAACGATAAATTTCCCTCGAAGAGGTGCTAGGTACTCAAGGAGATAAGAAAACTTACTGAGGAATACACTGGTAACCAGTTAGAGTAATATCGGCTTGCATACAATGTTGAAGATCAGGTGTTATCCAGGTTTCCACTAAGGAGACTAAATCAATATTCTCATCCTTCACCAAGTCAGTATGATAGAACCCTTATTCCTCACTGATCTACAGTTCACAAGTACCAACTTAACTGTTGGTACCTGTACCCTTAAATAAATCCTGCATCCCCCAGTGGAGCATTATTGTGCATGGTTTTCATGTACGATAAGGTGCACAGTGTATATGTTAGACCACTTATAAATACGCCGTACTTAGTGAACTCATCATAACATCAGTCGCAAATTGAAGTAGTTTTTGTGTTTTACTGGTGACATTTAACATCATTGTTATAGTGTTGCTGTATTCTTCACACGTTTTTCCCTCTGTATCTGTCTCTCCTTCAGTATCAGGTATCCAGGAAGACATAGAGTTCCAAATGATACAGCCACCAGTACCAGACTTAGCTGAAAATACATTAAATAAATAAATAAATGAGAAGATATTGATACTAATATAATATTTCTTGGAAACAGTGAGATGACTGAAAATATGGAGTAAGAAAAATAAATGAGATGTTATTATTATAGCGGGTAGTTCTATTAAAAAATTAAGCATCTGATGAACTGATGACATAAAAGTGATCTAAAAAACAGGAGATATTAAAAAATGTATCCAATGAAGTTTGCTTAGCTTCTGTAAGACAACAATGATACTTTTGATTTATAATATCAATAAAAGTTTTTTTTCCCTACATAATATATAATTTACACCAGAAACTTTGCAAAGTAGTACAAAATTGGGAGGTGGCAGCAGCTACAGGAGCAGATGCAATGTCTCAACTACATGAAGCAGAATCAGTACTCATCTAGACCCTGTCAAGGTCATTTTTAGACGCTGTCCCAGTTTCATTGCAACTAAGACTGCATTCCCAATGAAACCATTGTACTAGATAGATCAATCCAACTTCATGGGGATTTTCGCTGAATGCAATCAGAATGCCACACCTCCTGGTGCAGATAGGGGGTGATTAACTTGTGTGTACATTAAGTCACACTCAAAAGGAAATGAAAAAGTGTCCAGAGGCTGGGACCAAATTAAAGTTAATCACTCCCTAGTGGCTCAGGTGGCATGTGATTAAGGTATAGAGTTGAATCGATCTACATAGAAAAAAAATAGTAGTTTTAATGGGAACGCACCCTACTGTAAATCATTCAAGTGGTTAAAACGTTAATCCTTTTTTTTTGTAATTGCTGCAAAAAGCACTTCACGTTATGTACTTACATGTACAATCCTATCTATTTAGAAGAAACACAAACTTATCAATTCTACATGCATCAGAGAGAATGCAATAATAGATACAATTCTTACTCTATAAATAAATATATCAAGAATTAACACTTCATGTGTGACTAATTAGTACCAATATCTAATAAAATTGAATAATTGCACATATGGATTAAATAGTTTATAGACTTTAATTTTCATTACAGTTTTGAAAATGTTATGCCTTGGTAAATGAAGGGAACATTGCTAAATGTGTGTGTGTGTGTGTGTGTGTGTGTGTGTGTGTGTTTATTTTTTCTTTTTTGAAGGATTAATGCTCATTGTGTGCCTTTAATACTGAACAAGTTTTTCATGTCATACTTACGTAGAGTGGCTCGCTCTTCAACTCTGCTTTGTACCAGTAGAACAGAGGATATTGTAAACTTAGGAAAAGTGTTGAGAAAGACAATTGCCAACTGTAGGCCTTGCCAAAATGCTCAGAAGGGAACCTAAAAGAGAACCTTCTTTTGAATGTTTTTGTGTATAGATGTACATCACAAACAGGATTGAACAGCTGCAAATACAAAAAAGAAATGTAACAGAAATTCTGAGTTTTGTTATCAAAATATCATGTTAACACATAGATTTATTTGACTTATGGCCATGCACCAATAAAAAATCATTTATATCTGGTTGAGTGGTTCTGATACAAAAGAACAGAGAAAATGTAATTAATTAAAATCTTATAATTTTCTTTTCATTTCCAGTCGAAAAAACTCAATTGATAATAATAAAATGTTTTCACAAATTATAAAAATGAACATTTTCAACAATTTTTCTCAGCAATGTCTTTTAAATGTTAAAAAAAGTAATAACCCACAAACAATATGTATGTCTTGATAATAATACCTTGCTCATCAAACTTACGCAAAGGACACAAAGGCAAAATGAGTGCCATACGTAAAAGACTTGAGAACACAATGCAGAGCAGCAGCACCATATTGGACTTGTAGCACCGGTATGGCACACGACACAGAGACAAGGAGGGCAGCAATGAATGGCACCATGAAGGACAAAATGAAAGTCCTCAATTCAGCTGAAATTATACACTATTGATAAAATGAAAGTCCTCAATTCAGCCGAAGTTATACACAATTGATAAAATGAAAGTCCTCAGTTTGGCTGAAATTATACACGATTGATAAAATGAAAGTCCTCAATTTGGCTGAAATTATACTTGATTGATAAAATGAAAGTCCTAAGTTCAGCTGAAATTATATATGACTGATAAAATGAAATTCCTAAATTCAGCTGAAATTATACATGATTGATAAAATGAAAGTCCTAAGTTCAGCTGAAATTATATATGCCTGATAAAATGAAATTCCTCAATTCACCTGAAATTATCCACGTATTCAATTTAGCTGTCACTATACCATAAAATTTGGTCCACTGGTTAACAAGGCTAGCAGACTTCAAAAAACTATTGATCAGAAGCAAAATTTTACTTCAAAGACGAAATCTACAAATTACAGAAAATTAATCTGTCACAACTTCTAAGAGCCTGATGATAATCTGATGAGTATCAACTGCCAGAAGCCAGTTTATAATGATGGCTACAGCCCCATAAATTGGTCTCAGATTCTAGACCTGAAAATTTGTATACATGTAGTTCAAGATAAATCCATACTAGTCCACTAAAATAAAGTAGAAGGATGTTCCTAGATATTAACTCCTGTTAAAGAAACAGGCCCAGATTTAATTCAACTGGACCACCAATTTGTCTCGTGCCAAAGTGGACACAAATTCTGATCAAAAAGTTCAGACAACTTTACAGGTTATAGCTCTTCTCTGGGACAAACCAGTCCAAGTGGCTAATGTCTGCCATTGCATACCTTCCACTGCCCCTCCACTGTGCTGTCTGTCAGCAAGGTAGCCAGCCAGCATAGATAGTGGCATCCCTGACAGCTGCAGCCAGCCGAAGACGTTGGTGTACTGACTGACTGAAAATTAACAGAAAAAACTGAGCTGGCACAGGCCAGTAGCCAGGAGGGTTTGGGGGGTTCAAAAGAACCACCCTTTTGCCGGAAAAGGTCCCCTCTGGATAAATTTGATCTAGGTAAACCAAGGCTTCATGACAAAAGGTCCACGTTTTCAGAAAAAGAACCCTCATTTTGCAATTGCTAGCTACAGGCATGTAATGTCAACTAAAACTTTTTATATAACAAACAAAAAGAGCATTTTAAGAGGTCAGACCTTAGTTGCACATCTTAACAATCAAAATTTCACATAAAATGTATTCACCTGAAACACCACTGCAAAAAATAGGAAGAAAATGAAAGAAAAAAAAAATGAAAATTTGAGACACTTACTTGTTTTGTGGTCCTCATGTGCAAGATAAGTAATCAAATCATTAAATATCCCAAAATAAACTGCTGTAATAATTGTTGCACAAACTAGCCAAAACTGTGTCACCCAAAATAAAGGCATCCTGAGAATTGCCTTAAATGTTTTAGCATCTTCTGGATCTGTAAGAGTCAACACTGATGCATTAAATGAGGAAATGGACTTTGCTTTTTCTTCCAACAGGCTCTTATCACGTTGGGAGTCTTTGGCTAATAACGGCTGAGATGGGGGCACACTTGTATCTTTTTCTGTTAAAATATGTTCATTTGGTACATTGTCTGCATCCATATTGCCGCTTTTTTCTCTCACTGGAGATTCGTTTTCCTTGGAAAATTTGTTATCCTGGGAAACAGGAATATGTGCAGTTTGTACAGACAGATCAGTGGTTTCATTTTCAGTCAAACTGACTTTACCTAACACCTGACCCTGATCAACAGAACCATTTTGACAACCATTTTCTCTGAACTTAGCATTGCTCCTATCTTGACTGGTGTCTCCCTCTCCAGGGCCTTCAACAACATTAGGACTCAGAGGCAGGGTTTCAGTGGGTTCCACAGGAAATTGCAACGAGATGGTACCCTTTTGCATCTCATGACTGGGAGAACGGTCCTTCTTTTCTTTATCAATTCGAAGAGCTCCACACATGGCATGACTGCACTTGTTGTTGTGTACAATGTTACCATCTTTGTCTCTCCGGTGTGGGAGTGTGAGCGTGACGGTAGTGGCAATACAAAAGGTCAAAGCAGCAAAGACCAGCATTGATTGTTGAAAAGGAAATCCTGCATCATAGGCAAGCTAAAAGGAAATCGAGTTAATTTGTAGATTTCACTTCATCACAAACTTAGTTTTTGTCAACAACATTTTTGCCTATTGGCCAGTATTCTAATATTGTGGTCCAAAGCAGAAATAGTGAGATGAATAATGAACAAATTTACAAAGTTTTGCAGGTCTCATTCTAATTTAACTGGCATTTGGTGTGGGCCAATGTAAATGTAGCTACAAAAGAAATTTGTCTTTTGACATTCCTTACTTGACAAAAGAAGGGATTAACTTGCCAATAATATGGATTCTACTGGTAACTAATATCCATAAAACCTACTTAAATGTTTTTTTTTTTTTTTTTTTCACTGAAAAGGAACTAGATGGAGAGAAATTTGTTTCTAGTTTGGGAAACTATTTCCCCATTTTACAGCATACATTACAGCCTTTTCTCCTACCTTAATAAACAGTGGACTGACCATGCTCATGTCACAGGCCCCGGACAGAAGTGATGCCAGGGTGGACTGTTTTCCTGGGAACAAAGATGTCATCTGGACACCAGTGATGGACAGCATACTTCCTCCTAGTAACTGAAGGGTGGCTCCAGGAAGCAACAGCCATTCTAGGCCTCCTAGAAATATGCAATCATATATATATATATATGTTGTCTTCTGGATTTTTTCCCTGTTCTCTAGTACTGGATTCAAAATTAAGTAAAAACAGTGCAGAAAAGTTACTTGTACTAGTATATTAGATGGTTGAATTACAGAAATGCAATGAGTACTGGGGCTTTACATAAACATTATTTTCCTAGAAATTTCAATGTTTTTCACTGAATTAATCACTCAGCTAAAACTTTTCCAAAATCATTGACAAAACTTAAAATCTATAGCACAGTTTTTTAAAAGGTAAACCTAAAAGTTCTTATTTTTGATCCAGGATAGGAACTGGCAATTTTCACTCATATCAATAAATTAAGATCTCAAAAATGGGTCTACATATAGATTACAATTTTCTCAGCCATTTCAGATTACGTCCTGGCTGTAATAGGAAAAATTGCTGAAATTTCTAGAAAAAAATCCTTTTTGTTATACAAAGGTGTAATGCACACTGCAAGTCTTTTTAAAGTTAACGTACCTGAAGAGGCGACGGCCATCAAAGAACATCCACCACATGCAAAAAAACTAGGATATTAAGAAAAAATTATTTTCTGTTTTTAGATGGTGAAGGGGCTTCAACATATGCTATAGGGGTATCCAAAGGACCTGTTTCTCAAACTGTTTATCTCAGCCTGACAAATTTTGGGATTCCCACTGCATTTCTGTACCCTTTGGCATTGGTAGTTAAGAATGATTTATAAATGACTGGCTCACAAAACATTCGGATACCTAAATGGATTATTAAAGCCACTGAGAGGAGAATTCAATGTCTTGACAGTCACATTTTGCTCTGGGATAACAGTTAAAAGACTAGAAAAGTGTAACCCTTTAGCTATAGGTTCTTTCCGAAAATCAATTCAGCTGGCTGAGGATTCATTACAGCCTTTGCCAAGATCAATTTTTGACTCTAATTACTTTCTTAAACAGTTCCTTAGAAAAGGCCAATATAGCATATGCCCAGTTTGCAGTTAGGTTAACCCAATATGTCTGGGTAACTTTCTGATAAAAAAGAAAGCTAAATGGATTAATAAAATACCTTTGAAGTTTTCATTTATAACACATATCATCTAACAAAATTGAATTGAATGTTATGGTGAACAGTTCCATTATGACAGCTCAAGTTCCCCCATCCCGCTGCATTATTCAAAGGGAGGACGAGTTATCCTAGGTCAAATTACACCGCAGTTAACACAACAGCTAGGACAAATATTACCTTTAGGCAGAATCTGAAGAGAATTATTTTTTTCTTTTTAAAGCAAAATGGCATTAGAGTCTTATTTAAAGACATAGATTAATAAAACATATTTTAGTATAACCTTTTATTATAAAAGCTACTTTTCATCAGTCAAAATTGCTAGGAATATAATGCAGAATCTACTACAGTGTACATACATACAAAGGCTCCTAATAAATAGCATTCCACAGTGATCATACAAGTATCCCAGAACTGGTAAGACAACCTGAAGGGTGATGGCAATGGAATAGACTAAATTCAATTTCTGATCCTGTTCCTCACAATCGTCATCACTGGTTGAATTGATGTTCTTGTCGTAATCAAGAACACCAAACTGGACCCGGTGGTGTTCCGTACCGTTATGGCCTGCTTGACAAGCACTTTCAAAAAAGTGTTCATGCTTGAAGATGTAGACAAGGGAAGGCCATGCATACAAAGAAAAACTGTACACTCCAGCCTCCAGCAGGGTAAGCCCGAGAACTAGTAATTTCCATGGCAGGGGAGATGAAGCTCTGGCGTCCCAGCCGAGGGGCATCTTACACAGCTTGCCGATGCCCTGAAATACAACTGTAAAGATGTAGAGCAGTCGGTATTTTTTTCCCATTACGGTAATTACTCAATCTTTTTAATGGGAGAAAATTGTAAACTTTACAGCCACTGTATTTAGTCATAGTACATAATTAACATAAAGCAGGCTACTCCGTAGTTCTATTCTACGCATTAAAAGAACCACAAATGTTAAACAGAAATATGATTTTTGTGACTATAAAATTATGTATCTGAAACTGAAAGTTTGACATTTTTTTCCCATTGAAAAGATTGAGTCATTACCATATTCTCAATGTTAGGTACCATGAATATGGATGCCTTATTTTACATTCTGTGCTGAATCAAAACACTGGAATTAACAATGACCTTGGAATAAATTACACAACTTGATCCTCAACTTATGTACAATTTGATGCAGATTCCAATCTGGTTATGTAGTTGTTGGGGGAAATCATTCCCATTTAAGTAGCAAAGGATTGTGTAATACTCTTTGATGTTAATAGTCTTAGAATTTTTTCAAACCTATTTCTGAACTTACAAATACAGTAGTTGGTCTACTGAGAATATATAGAAGTGTGTGTGTGTGTGTGTGTGTGTGTGTGTGTGTGTGTGTGGTATCCAGAGAGCTCATCTATACGGATCATTTAGACACAATAAAAAAAAATACGTAAATAAACCCAAGATATGTCTAAACCTCTAGAAATTTAGACATTTCTCCGGTACATTTTATAAAATTTCATTGCACACACACACACACAGTTTTGATTTCATTGCACATACACACATTTCTGGAGGCACCAGTTATAATAAAATTAAAGTCCAGTAATACACTAAAAATTATTAACGATAATAATGGAAAAAGAAATGACTGGATGACTAATCTAAAAAATTACACTGTACCTGCAGCTAGACTTCAACTTTGGTGACACAACTATGATAAATATATTTATGGTCTCTGGGGTTATACCTAAAAGGCAAAAGGCAATGTACCACTTATTACTGTATAAGATAGGTCAATCAGCAGCCAAAAATGTACAAAAATTCTGCACAACGTATTCCTTTTATTTGGTTTCCCAGTCTTTTTCTACAATGTTGTATCATTTAACTGACTACAATAACATGCTCTGTACTATGTCAAACTGCGCGCCACTTTTGATCTGCAGAGGTTCTCTTCAAAAATACATAAAAATCCCCCAAGTGATTGATCATAATGGGTCTGATGTCTTTGATCTTCCTTACAGGAAGGGTCACCTGCAAAACTTCAACAAAACTTCAAAGAGTGACCAGCAAGTCACGGACCATTGCTTCTGTAAAGTACATGTACACAAATCTTGGGTCTGTTTTCAGGGTCCATTCCTGTCCATTATCTGCTCTATTTCACTCTGACAGACTTGGTCACAACTGAATTACCTCAACAGGTAAATCAAATTTCAGGATCTATCATAAATGAAACCTTTTTGACTATCAAAACTAAGATCAAATGAAACTATTTTCACATATGTAAGATTATCATTATCAATTTACATGTATATATCATCATTCATATGTTGTACTCAGAAGCCCATTGTGCTCTTTTATTACCTGCCTGATCTTGGATTTCACAATATTATGGTATAGATAAAGTACGAGGCGCTGAGCTTTACGCGAAATAGAGCAGATAATTGNAGTCGGTATTTTTTTCCCATTACGGTAATTACTCAATCTTTTTAATGGGAGAAAATTGTAAACTTTACAGCCACTGTATTTAGTCATAGTACATAATTAACATAAAGCAGGCTACTCCGTAGTTCTATTCTACGCATTAAAAGAACCACAAATGTTAAACAGAAATATGATTTTTGTGACTATAAAATTATGTATCTGAAACTGAAAGTTTGACATTTTTTTCCCATTGAAAAGATTGAGTCATTACCATATTCTCAATGTTAGGTACCATGAATATGGATGCCTTATTTTACATTCTGTGCTGAATCAAAACACTGGAATTAACAATGACCTTGGAATAAATTACACAACTTGATCCTCAACTTATGTACAATTTGATGCAGATTCCAATCTGGTTATGTAGTTGTTGGGGGAAATCATTCCCATTTAAGTAGCAAAGGATTGTGTAATACTCTTTGATGTTAATAGTCTTAGAATTTTTTCAAACCTATTTCTGAACTTACAAATACAGTAGTTGGTCTACTGAGAATATATAGAAGTGTGTGTGTGTGTGTGTGTGTGTGTGTGTGGTATCCAGAGAGCTCATCTATACGGATCATTTAGACACAATAAAAAAAAAATACGTAAATAAACCCAAGATATGTCTAAACCTCTAGAAATTTAGACATTTCTCCGGTACATTTTATAAAATTTCATTGCACACACACACACAGTTTTGATTTCATTGCACATACACACATTTCTTGAGGCACCAGTTATAATAAAATTAAAGTCCAGTAATACACTAAAAATTATCAACGATAATAATGGAAAAAGAAATGACTGGATGACTAATCTAAAAAATTACACTGTACCTGCAGCTAGACTTCAACTTTGGTGACACAACTATGATAAATATATTTATGGTCTCTGGGGTTATACCTAAAAGGCAAAAGGCAATGTACCACTTATTACTGTATAAGATAGGTCAATCAGCAGCCAAAAATGTACAAAAATTCTGCACAACGTATTCCTTTTATTTGGTTTCCCAGTCTTTTTTACAATGTTGTATCATTTTACTGACTACAATAACATGCTCTGTACTATGTCAAACTGCGCGCCACTTTTGATCTGCAGAGGTTCTCTTCAAAAATACATAAAAATCCCCCAAGTGATTGATCATAATGGGTCTGATGTCTTTGATCTTCCTTACAGGAAGGGTCACCTGCAAAACTTCAACAAAACTTCAAAGAGTGACCAGCAAGTCACGGACCATTGCTTCTGTAAAGTACATGTACACAAATCTTGGGTCTGTTTTCAGGGTCCATTCCTGTCCATTATCTGCTCTATTTCACTCTGACAGACTTGGTCACAACTGAATTACCTCAACAGGTAAATCAAATTTCAGGATCTATCATAAATGAAACCTTTTTGACTATCAAAACTAAGATCAAATGAAACTATTTTCACATATGTAAGATTATCATTATCAATTTACATGTATATATCATCATTCATATGTTGTACTCAGAAGCCCATTGTGCTCTTTTATTACCTGCCTGATCTTGGATTTCACAATATTATGGTATAGATAAAGTACGAGGCGCTGAGCTTTACGCGAAATAGAGCAGATAATTGACTTGGCTTTGCCTTGCCAATTATCTGCTCTATTTCGCGTAAAGCTCAGCGCCGAGTGCTTTATCTGGCTTAAAGCACGAGTAATTAACCCTGTGCATTGCTGCATGGAACACATTCGTGGATGACGTGACTTTACACGAAATAAAGCACGGCGCGACCTATTGTCTTTTGACAGGAAAGTGCTTTAAAATCATGTACTGTACCATACAGGTAAGAACTTTTTTTAAACCTTAAATTGCTTTGCATATTGCCACTTGAAATAAAAGATAGGATATAAAGAAGCAAACACTCATGTTTAAAATTATGTTCAAATAAAAGCTTCCTAACAATTATATTGACATTGTTTTATATATTTAGTGATGTAAAGGGATAACACAATGGGGAAAAAATCTTTAGTATATAAGTGCTAGATGTGCTCCCAACCACTGCCTCTCTCCCCCTCCAAATGAGCAATAGGACCATGTGTTGTGCACATGAAAATACCAGCACTGGGAAAAATTGATAAACCACTCCACCATCACAAAAAATAATGCCACATTCATTTAATTTTATGGATGACACCCTCTGGGGACCTCGAAACCCATATAACAGGACAAAAAAGTTTTTTTAAAAAGTACTGAAGTAAAGGAATACACAGCTGGAAACACAAACTGAACCACAGAACACAGTGTATCAAACAAATTACATATCTTTTTACGTGATGAGAACACTAAAACTATGAAAAGTGCAAAAGGTTCATTTTTCGACAAATTCAGCAGATTGGCAGAAGATAAACAAGTTTTGCACCAACCAAGGCATTTTAAATGCCCACAGATAGTTGCAGCATGCTGTCAGTTTTGGAGTTCCAAGGAGCTGATATTTCAAAAAATTTTTTTTGAGAACAGTGAATATTAATGTGCAGGCAAATGTCATCAATAAAATTAAATTACTGTGGCCTAAAATCAATAAACAAATTAATAATAATAATAATGATAATATTAATAATAATAAATTAAAATAAATAAATAAAATAAGATGTGTCGACCCTTAAATTTAGCTGCTTTGCTTGTTAAAAATCATATGCTTTTAATATAAAGAAATGAAAAAATAAATGATAAAAAATGTCTACGATTAGTACGAGCTGACGCCATTAACCAACATATACTAGTATATATCGATTTTGTCTGGTCCCTTACAATGAAAATACTGAGAGGCGGTGAAGCGGTGAATGTGAACATTACAACTTCCATAACATCAAAGAAGAGAACGTGTTTGTAAAATGTTCTCTTGAACCTGTTCGATTATATCAATTCACTGATTAGCTTTCAGTTTCATTATGGTCAGCCGGCGAGCGCACTTTATTACGATTGTGATTTCCTTGGACAAAACAACTTAACCAATTTTTACACATATTGTACTCATTATGTTTGCATTTGGTTATCCCTGCTGTCGTTGAAATACGACATGTCACTTTACACTGACGAAAATGGACAGAATACTTACCATGGTGTCAAACATGCCCAAACAGTCTCTTCCACAGCCAAGGTCCAGTTAGTGGTTTCTGGCATAGGTCAAAGGTCACATTGTTTGCCAAGACAATCTATGATATCATTCAATAAATTGTTGTCGCACGGGACTTATCCAATACATTCACTACCAAACCTTGATATACAATTGTTTCAGTGAAGATGTTAAAATAAATGATAAGCTTTTAAATAAAAATGTCTTGCATCCAAGGTGAACTATTGCACACTGTTGCATCTTTGCAGCTCCACTCTTGCGAATTTGGAGGAATGAAACACATACAAGACTTTCTGTACGCTGCTATTTCCACGAAAGTGATGGCATTTTGAGTTGAAAAAGTATTTTTCAGGATGAATATCTTACCTAAGAAAAAGTAAGTAAAATCCTTACTTCCGCATTAAGCCTCGAGCGTCGATGTTTACATGTGCTAATGTACACACTGACAGTAACAAAATTCCATAATAAAATATCATAATTTTCTTCTGGATCTCCCACTGCTAGGACGAATTTTCATGCGTCAACACCCATTATTTATGGTTTCTGATATCTGTCATGTGTGTGATTAACACAAAAATATATTATAGACTAACAATGGGAGTATTAACACATAAAACCCCGTGCTAACCTAATCTCTGCTTGCAAGTTGTGGTATATTTTTATCTTTAAGTAGGTATATCAGAAAAATTTTCAAACTGATCAGAAAATTAAAATACTTATATCATCTGAAAGGTAATGCAAAAACCGGATGAAATCATTTGGAATTTTTTAAATATTCCTACAAGCAACAAAGATATTGAAGTTTTTTAACTGCAAAAATCCACCAAAAGTGTCCACACTTCTCAGCTCAAAACCTGTGCCCACTGACCAGCAGTGATCACTCAGGCGCAGCAGAGCACCCTGTGTGTCTTTGTGTGCTCAGCCTATTGTCTGGCTCACATAGCCTGTGACTAATCAGGGCAGAGCTATTTCCCTGTGGTAATTTTCACATCATGTAATATTGCGGATTAAATTAACTATACTTCGCAACCTTCAAATTTCATGATTTTTCTACATAATATAGCAAATTTCATAAACTTTGCTGGATATAAATTTCAAAAAGATGATACCAGCACTTACCTGAAATTTTTTAGCATTTTGTAGAGGCAAAACTTAAAACAAGCAGAACCGAAACTTGTCAAAGACTGCAACATGGGAAAATCATGTGACCGGATTTTACTCTTTGATTTACAACTTATTTAGTTAATGGCTTGTATTAGTTTTTTTACGCAGCGCTAAAAGAGAGATTTAAAAAAGGGGTTCCATAGGCAAACTGTCAGCAGGCCGACTTCAGTTTAACACTTCACTGCCCGTGGACAGTTACGACTGTAGCGCCCCTAGCGGATTGTGATCTACCTACTTTAAGTACTGCAATTGTGTGATATGGCATCACTCATCACTAAATCACATCCTGAGTATTATAAGCAGGTTACTCAGAAAGTCCAGCTGTTGGCATTATGTCTATAAGCAGTTGCAACTATATACTAGTAGGTGTGGATTATGTTATGATGCTATGCACCTAGAGTATCACAGGCCCTATAGTTTGCCTGACAAGTACAAGGGTGAAAGTTTTCAGGATTATGCCTGATTTCAGGGTTCCAGTCCTCATTATGTGCATTTATTTAATGGTCAAAATGCGATGAGAAATTTCATGCTAGGATTTTTAGTCTTTACATCTTTCACCCATGCTACTGTCAACATGCACCTGTCATTTCCAGTTAGGTGTCCATTGACCTCTGAAATGGAGGGTGGGTAGAAGAGAACAGTAATGAATAGTCAACTAATAAAAGTCATAAATATATTTCAGTTGGCATGTTCGCACCAAAAAGAACATTGAAAGGGTGCGAAGGGATGAGGAGCAGGCAGCAGAAGAGGAAAAAGAACGCCAGAGGAGGATTGCATTAGCGGTGAGTTGCAGTTACTCGACACACTCCTCATATCATTTTGTAATGCCTTTACGCTGGCTATACCATATATATAAAAAGAAAGACAGGACTTTGAAATAAATTTTGCTTGTTGATCACACTTACTAGTGCTCAATCCTTACAAATTCAAATTAGAAATGAAATAAATGGAAGGTCATTTTTATGTGCAAATGCAAATTGGTTTTTTCTCATGGAAGTTGTAACAGAAAATTTAAAACGAAAGGTTTATGTAACAAGGCATAAATACATAAAACATATGATCATAATTAGTATTAGAATGTACAAATGTACATATTTCAGTGGTGTTGCCTGCATATATATAGATTATAAAAATGATGAAGTACGAGTGTAGAGGTTACAGCTATCACCTCTAAGGGCAAACAATATATATATAGCATAAATATGAACATTTTATGTTTGAATCAATACAGGATTAAGAAACTTAATTCTTAAACCAAGTAAAACTTGGTAAGTGTAGATTTCATAACATCAGTTTGAAATCTTTTGGATCTATTTTAAATTTTTGAAAAACTAGGAATCCGAGGCAAGGACTGATCTCCTAAGACAGAGGGCAAAACACAGACAGCGAGATGACGATGAGGAATACGAAGGAGACAGACAAGTTGTGGAATTCCAAGCCGGGCAGCATGTCAATTTCTTCAGTGATATTGAACAAGGGGTATGCTTGGAGCTGAAGTGGTTAGATCAAACATGATCTTTTAAGGAGGCTCTCTCTCTCATATTAGTTTGAGTACTTTCTAACGACAACTACTAATGATCAAAATATGTCATGCAACAAAATATGTTATTTATCCTTTAATGGAAGCTAAGTTCTTAATTTGATCGAAGCGTTAAGAATATGTCAACAAAATGTATTTAGGAAGAACGCTTGGACTTTAATAATGTAAAGTACCCTCTTACAACTTGTTTACAAACTCTTTAAGTTTTCTTTAGGAAGCTAGCTCTCAAAAATTAACTGGATTACCCCCAATTTTTTTCATATACTTTACTCATATGGTTAGTCGATTTTGTCTTAGAATTTTCATCAAAATGTGAGAGAGCGTCCTTAATATCCATTTATTGCATAATTATTCAGTCACAGGGGCTTGGTAGTGGATATTTCAAAAGGTTGATCTATTGCTACATAATAGGAATCAGCCTTATACATACAATGTTAACTTGTGGTTAAAGATATGTTTTAAAAACATTAAATCAATTAATATTTATATAGAATCTGCATACCCAAAATAGTTTGGTATGTTATCTTTATGATTATCATGTATTATTTGTTTTTTCAATTGTTCTGATCTGTGATTTATGACATCGTCCCTGTAACTTCTCTTCTTATTCGATATATTCAATTAAAGGGTTATCTCGCATAGGCTGAAAACTATTTGAAAGTTGTGGTCTATTAGATAAATCTTTTTTTTTTATTATTATTATTATTAGGAGGAAAAAATATCAAATTGAGAAAATATTCATATCATAGGAAAATATTAAATACAGATACATGTGTATATTTATAACATCTCTGATATGTACAACTTTACTTCAGTGGTGTCTCAACTTTATTTTTAAGATGAAGCAAAAGAAGGTGAATGAAGAACATGAAAAGGAAAAGAAGGAAGAAAAAGAAAAATGGGAGAAGAGCATAGGACTTCTCACCTACCTTGGGCAAAGCTCAGTGGAGTCGAAAAGTATGGATTGAATATGGTTGAAGGTTGCTCGATTATAGAATAGTTTAGAAAATCATCTTAGAAATGAATTGTCTAAAAAATGTTTCAAACCTTGTTGCCATTTAGACTCCCATTCAGTCAGATAACTCTGTCTTTTTTGTTTATTTTTATTGAAAAATTGTCACTATTCTTAATGGGATAATAACTCTTCGTATGAGATCTATATTTCACAATAAAAATGTTGTAAACAACTCATAGAAATACATATTCTGTTTTACCACAAAAACAGCAGTTATAGTTATTATTCTGATATCTGAGCTAGTCATCAGACCATGTGACCTCCACAGATGGCTATACTCCGTAATAATCTCTCAAGAGATTATTACAAAAAAACAAACTTTTTAGAAAAAAACCAGGGACTAACTTTGAATGTAGAAATGGATTCATTAATCATTGGTAAGTATGGGAAAATTGTTGTTTACTCCAGGAAAATTCATTTTTTTTTTTTTTGTTTTGGCCAAAACGAACAGTTATTATCCCTTTAATTGTTGATACATGTTTTGTTTACAGTTTTTCGTTATATTTACAGCCACAAAGCCAGGTATTTACCGGTACTCAGAACCTCCAAAGAAGAAATCAAAAGAGGAGGAAAACATGTAGGTGATGTCACTCATATCCATTTTCTGTTTTCTTCTGAATTATCATGTGTTTGGTATCTAGTTTAAGTCTTTATATTAAAGTGTATGTCTTATGTGTAGTTCAAGTTTTGCTTACATGCATATCTGGTTTGAATCTTTGTGTAAAGTGATCTTTCATGAAAATTGGGTAAAGTTTAACTTAAGTCTAAACTACAAAAAAAGAATGGAGAGAGAGAGAGAGAGAGGAATCTGCCCCATATTTGATGTTTGTTAGCACTGACAAAAGATTACAAAAGATTTTTTTATGTATTGATAGATACTAGACTTAATGTTTCTTTAATCTCATAGTGAAATACAGACTTTGTATTACATTTTGTCTCTGAAATGTAGATCTGTTTTGAACGCTTGAATTATACCAAGTGTTTGTTACCAAGAATGCGTTACCTGGTGATAATCTATTTCATATCTGGTAAATCTGATAATGCAATTCTTGATTATATTCATTTTTACAGGGAAGAAGACATGAAAAGGAAGCATTCACTGGATCCTTTGCATAAGATGAAGGAATATGTAGAAAAGAAGAAGAAACACAAACACAAGGATAAACATAAAGTAAGACAATGAAAAAAGAAATAAAGAAAGAAACAGATTTGACTGTATAGCTTCTTTTTTGCATCAGTGCTTGGCCCTAATTTAATTTGTCTTTGTATACAAACAATTTAAGTCTTGAACAAACAACACAAGTTTTGAAACGGCACTGGTTCTTACTATAAAACTTACTATAAAATTATTCTCCTCTATTCAAAATTTGACATAAAAAGAGCTTAACACTTTTATTAATTTTATTAANAAACAGATTTGACTGTATAGCTTCTTTTTTGCATCAGTGCTTGGCCCTAATTTAATTTATCTTTGTATGCAAACAACTTAAGTCTTGAACAAACAACACAAGTTTTGAAACGGCACTGGTTCTTACTATGAAACTTACTATAAAACTATTCTCCTCTATTCAAAATTTGACATAAAAAGAGCTTAACACTTTTATTAATTTTTTATTAATTATAATTAAATATATTAATTTTTTTTTCATTATTTTCATGTTGAAGGACTATGAAAAGAAGCACAAGCATAAGCACAAGGACAGGGAAACCCACAAACATAAGTCAGGTGGGAGCAGCAGCAGTAGTAGTAGCAGTAAAAAAACTATTGAACAACTAAGAGCTGAAAGATTAAAAAGAGAACAGGAGGAAAAACTTAAAACTGAGCAGCTGCTTGCTAAGCTGAGAGGAGAGAAAATACCAGGAGAAGAAGAGGTGATAACAGATGACAGACAGAGAAAATACAACTCACAGTTCAATCCTGATTTAGCAAGGAAACCTAAGAAGCGACAGGAGTGGGATTATTGATTCTGTTAGCAAAATTTTAGGACAGATGTAGGACATATTTCTATGTCTCGTTATACTGATAATAAATTCTTATTTGGAGAATCCTGTTAGATCTCAAGTATCTTATTTTAAGTGTTAATTCCTGACACTAAAACAGCACTTGTTATTATCATTATATTTAATATAAAACCAGGAAAAATACTTAGTTAATGAAATAAATTAGAAAACTTTGTAAGTTTGTTTTTAGAAGTAAGCTTTTTAATAAAGGTTATGAAACTAGATCAAGAAATGGAATTAAAACAAATTAGAGCTCCAGTGTTCATGTTGTGTTGCTTTTGTTACTGCTTGCTTGACCAAAGCCAGAAGATGAAAATGTTTCTGAGTTAAGAACTAGACGAAGTGATGCACAGTGTCACTGGGCTATCAAAGATTCTGCCAAAAGGCAGGAAATAAGGGCTAATTTTTCTCTCGCTTCTTTCGACACCTTTGCATAGATGAAATATCAAAAATATAACAGAATTTCATTGAAATAGAGCTTTTTCCATGCTATTTTGCATCCACAGTAAGGGGGTGGGGTACGTCCCCGCTGCTGTCTTCGCCCCCTTATATGCCATCTGGTATGTAATTGAAAAACGCTGATGACATCAGGAAATTTTGTAAACAGTATTTTTTTATAAGAATTTCTGTTCACTATACTCGTAAGTTGACTTTAAATCAAGCCCAAAAAACATCATATTGGATTTAGCTTGCGATATTCCGGCGAACAAAATGAATATACTGGTATTCTGATGAAAACCTTTTATTTGTTTAGAATTGAGTGGCACCGGGAAAGCTTTGCTTTTGTATATCACAGGAAACATTTTAGACAAGTGTCTTAATTTATGTATAGTGTTACGTATAACATGTATAATGGGTTTGCGCTAATGTCACTTACTTACAAGTAAATGGGCCAGGCCCAGAGAGATGCGCATTTAACATTTGTACATTGTACGGGGGAAGTCGGAAAAATCCAACGGTTTTCTATATTTTTTTCATAAGTGAACAGATTTCGTAAACACCTTGTAGGTAAAATGTTGATAAAACTAATGAAATAAATAACCAAGCTTAAAACAAGTCTTGATGATGTTCTCAATATCTATCCCGTTCACACCAGTAATAAAGACGTCAACTTACATTTCCTGACTGGTTATTTAGAGGCAAAGTTGTTTCTTTTTTTCTGTCGGTTTTTGGACTTTGATTAGCACCATCAAGTTTTATAGCGTCTCGTAATTGTCAACAGCTCAGTGCGTTGTCAAATTGTAATAATTTTTTCAGCTTCCCTAGCCTTCTAAACATTGCGTATTATCGTCGGAAATGATAAAAATTTGAATAAATCACAAGACTTTACCTATTGGGGAAAACCCTTAGAAGAAGATCTCGCTTAGTCTTTGTCATACTTTCCAAAAATACATTAATTACCTGTTAATTTATATGATGTAAGCCTTATCAAAATTGGATTTGCAGTACATCATACCCGTATCGTTTCATTCGTGGAAATACGCTTCATCGCTAACCCTTTTTTTGAGTGACTACTGATAGTTTGACAAAAGTGATTTATTTCGACAGTTCAGTCGGATTGAAGCATCAGAAACTAATTTTGTTAATTTCTATCAGGGTGCACTCAGCTGATACATATAATTATAATCTCTGATATCTGGAGCTGTTACGTGACCGTGGCGATAAACGCTTTATTCGATATATTAAGGGCGTTTTTTCGGTGAAATATGCGAGTAGGCCTACTTTCTCTCGGTATTTCGGTGTTACGTCGGGATATGTACGCCAATAACCCTGATACATTGCCACCCTCTTGCGACGCTGACGCGATATACTTGTATGTCTTATCTCACATATCAGCGACAACTGCATATGCTAGCTCTCAAATGCTGCTACCCTACTTCGGAGAATGCAGTAGTTGACCGCGTATTGCCCCGAGTGTGTGTGTGTGTGTGTGAGAGAGAGAGAGAGAGAGAGAGAGAGAAAGAGAGATAGCAGGTCTCTCTCTCTCTCTCTCTCTCAGTATCTTGTCCTTGCAGGACGTTGGCTGTCATGGACCTTCACAACATTTTTTTTACATGATCTCAGATTTGTTACACTGTCACCCATCCATAAATCTAAAAACTCTTGAAAAAGCCGACGCTTTGCCTTCTTCTGCTTTGATCTCTTTCCTTTGATTTTCCTTGTGACCGCTAAACAATCCAACCCTCCTTTCCTCAACACATGTTCAAAAAACTCTAAATGCCTCTTTCTTATTGTTCTAAGCAAAGTTCTTTCCCTTCCAGCTCGTTCTAGGACTTATTCGTTGCTGATATATGCCTTATTCCCTCCACAATAGTCTTAGCACCGTTCTCATGTATCACATTTCAACGGCCTGCAGTCTTTCAACCTATGGGCCTGGAAATATTCCAGCACTCGCTGACAAAGGTCAGTATAGAATAAATGAAACACTGTAGAACTCCAAATTTTTCTTTCAAATTTCATTTTCCTTGTCTGTAAGTATTTTGCGCATTTTCTTTTTCTTTTTTTTTTCAATTTTAGCTTATTCTGATTTCTGCCTCACACCTGCCATCATCGGTTATCATGCTTCCTAGGTAATTGAACCTCTCGACATGCTTGATGATATTTCCATCTACTTTCAATTTACAGACCTGGTGTTGCTTTTTCCTTCTAAAGACCATAAATTCGATTTTCTTGCAGTTTATTGTGAGGGCCATTAATTTTTTCTGCTTTCATCTCCCATGTAATTAATAGTGCCTGGAGATTCCCCTCTGATGATAGCTGTATCATCAGAAAATCTCATATTCAGCATATGTCTTTACTCCGACATCAAGTCCTTTTAATCCATTCATTTCTCTCTTAATCATTTCACTCTTCAAGTTAAGACAGCTCTTTCAATCTTCGTAATTAGGCCTAGGCCTACTTAAAAAAATTGAAATGCACTCTATCCAAAACCAGTAGAAAAAATTAAAATTGGAATTATATGATCCACCCCAATTCCCAGTCTTTGGCCCTGTAAAACCATTCAGGTTTATGAGAGAAGAGTTTCATTAGCTCTGTATGTATCAATTTAAATTATTGTTTTTCTTTTTATCAAGAGCTTATAAAATATGTAGGTATTACCTCCAATATTTCTGTTTAATATTAGAAATATTGGAGGTAACACCTACATATTTTATAAGCTCTTGATAAAAAGAAAAACAATAATTTAAACATTCAGGTTTACATTAGTTTTCTGGCCTGGGGTGACATATATGACTGTGACCCTGATTAAAGAGGCTTGGCGAGATACGGCCTGCAAGCTCAAGCCACACTTCGCCGCTTCCCGTAAACAAACCCAAAACGAGGCAGAGCGTGATTCCAACGTGAAGGCGCCATTGTTGTTCTAAATCATTGTGTTTGGGTTATAAAATCCAAGCCATCATGAAGCTAGTAAGGTAAGGATACATTTCTGTTTGGAGATAATGCAGAACAAATGTATATGCTATGCAATTTGCGTTTAATTTTGAAGTAGCTTTCGGTACTTTCCAAGCTGTCATATATTTAACGTAGGCGGTCCTCCATTGACCGGCTTTTTACCGTGACTGTACTGGGTTCTAGATAATGCATGTGTTCTTTGCACAGTTTATCGTTAAAGAAGTCCATAGATTTGATATTATTGAGCACGTAAACGAGTAACTATTTGCATATATCTACTGCATCGCTGGGCTTAAGTTCCGCTGTATTTGTTGTCCTTTGGTTGTTTAGTGCAAAATCTGCTACAGTTGGCTGTGACAGATATTTTCAGTTACATTCGTAAAGTATATATATTTTATCATTATGTGGTGAACACTTGCAGAGCAGGCTTAGATATTAGGGGTCTTCAATCGTAATCGTCCGAGAAGCTGGTTAGACGTACTGGACTCTTTTTGCAGTAAAGACTTAGAGTAAGACATCTTGAAGTGATCTTCCCGAAAACAGGGCTTTTCCCAGGATTTGAGCTACAAACCGTCCCAAATTATCACTTGTAATTTNTCCTGATAGTTTGACAAAAGTGATTTATTTCGACAGTTCAGTCGGATTGAAGCATCAGAAACTAATTTTGTTAATTTCTATCAGGGTGCACTCAGCTGATACATATAATTATAATCTCTGATATCTGGAGCTGTTACGTGACCGTGGCGATTAACGCTTTATTCGATATATTAAGGGCGTTTTTTCGGTGAAATATGCGAGTAGGCCTACTTTCTCTCGGTATTTCGGTGTTACGTCGGGATATGTACGCCAATAACCCTGATACATTGCCACCCTCTTGCGACGCTGACGCGATATACTTGTATGTCTTATCTCACATATCAGCGACAACTGCATATGCTAGCTCTCAAATGCTGCTGCCCGACTTCGGAGAATGCAGTAGTTGACCGCGTATTGAGTTTGTGTGTGTGAGAGAGAGAGAGAGAGAGAGAGAGAGCAGGTCTCTCTCTCTCTCTCAGTATCTTGTCCTTGCAGGACGTTGGCTGTCATGGACCTTCACAACATTTTTTTTACATGATCTCAGATTTGTTACACTGTCACCCATCCATAAATCTAAAAACTCTTGAAAAAGCCAACGCTTTGCCTTCTTCTGCTTTGATCTCTTTCCTTTGATTTTCCTTGTGACCGCTAAACAATCCAACCCTCCTTTCCTCAACACATGTTCAAAAAACTCTAAATGCCTCTTTCTTATTGTTCTAAACAAAGTTCTTTCCCTTCCAGCTCGTTCTAGGACTTATTCGTTGCTGATATAGGCCCTATGCCTTATTCCCTCCACAATAGTCTTAGCACCGTTCTTCTGTATCACATTTCTACGGCCTGCAGTCTTTCAACCAATGGACCTGGAAATATTCCAGCACTCGCTGACAAAGGTTAGTATAGAATAAATGAAACACTGTAGAACTCTAAATTTTTCTTTCCAATTTCATTTTTCCTGTCTGTAAGTATTTTGCGCATTTTCTAAAACGATTTTTTTTTCAATTTTAGCTTATTCTGGTTTCTGCCTCACACCTGCCATCATCGGTTATCATGCTTCCTAGGTAATTGAACCTCTCGACATGCTTGATGAAATTTCTACTTTCAGTTTACAGACCTGGTGCTGCTTTTTCCTTCTAAGGAGCATAAATTCGATTTTCTTGCAGTTTATTGTGAGGGCCATTTTTCTGCTTTCATCTCCCATGTAATAAATAGTGCCTGGAGATTCCATTCTGATGATAGCTGTATCATCAGAAAATCTCATATTCAGCATATGTCTTTACTCTGACATCAAGTCCTTTTAATCCATTCATTTCTCTCTTAATCATTTCACTCTTCAAGTTAAGACAGCTCTTTCAATCTTCGTAATTAGGCCTAGGCCTACTTAAAAAAATTGAAATGCACTCTATCCAAAACCAGTAGAAAAAATTAAAATTGGAATTATATGATCCACCCCAATTCCCAGTCTTTGGCCCTGTAAAACCATTCAGGTTTATGAGAGAAGAGTTTCATTAGCTCTGTATGTATCAATTTAAATTATTGTTTTTCTTTTTATCAAGAGCTTATAAAATATGTAGGCATTACCTCCAATATTTCTGTTTAATATTAGAAATATTGGAGGTAATACCTACATATTTTATAAGCTCTTGATAAAAAGAAATACAATAATTTAAACATTCAGGTTTACATTAGTTTTCTGGCCTGGGGTGACATATATGACTGTGACCCTGATTAAAGAGGCTTGGCGAGATACGCGACGGTTGCAAGCTCAAGCCAGTTGCACTTCACCGCTTCCCGTAAACAAACCCAAAACGAGGCAGAGCGTGATTCCAACGTGAAGGCGCCATTGTTGTTCTAAATCATTGTGTTTGGGTTATAAAATCCAAGCCATCATGAAGCTAGTAAGGTAAGGATATATTTCTGGTTGGAGATAATGCAGAACAAATGTATATGCTATGCAATTTGCGTTTAATTTTGAAGTAGCTTTCGGTACTTTCCAAGCTGTCATATATTTATCGTAGGCGGTCCTCCATTGACCGGCTTTTTACCGTGACTGTACTTTGTCCTAATGCGTGTGTTCTTTGCACAGTTTATCGTTAAAGAAGTCCATAGATTTGATTTTACTGACCACGTAAACGAGTAACTATTTGCATATATCTACTGCATCGCTGGGCTTAAGTTCCGCTGTATTTGTTGTCCTTTGGTTGTTTAGTGCAAAATCTGCTACAGTTGGCTGTGACAGATATTTTCAGTTACATTCGTAAAGTATATATATATTTTATCATTATGTGGTGAACACTTGCATAGCAAGCTTATATATTAGGGGTCTTCAGTCGTAATCGTCCGAGAAGCTGGTTAGACGTACTGGACTCTTTTTGCAGTAAAGACTTAGAGTAAGACATCTTGAAGTGATCTTCCCGAAAACAGGGCTTTTCCCAGGATTTGAGCTACAAACCGTCCCAAATTATCACTTGTAATTTAAGCCGTCATTTTTCAAAAAAAAAAAAAAAAAAAAATCATAAGCCGTCTATGAAAATATTGATGCCAGCGGCCGTCTGAATGACAGCTGGACAAAAAATAAACAATTAAGAACTAAGTCAAAAAATGAACATCTTGTGGACTGGCTCCCTTGGGCAGCATTGCCCACATATACCCTGCACTTTTGTATTTATTTCCATGTTTGCTTTTGTTCTAGGTTTCTTATGAAGCTCAGCCATGAGACAGTTACCATTGAACTAAAGAATGGTACACAGGTGCATGGAACAATCACAGGTAAAGGTTTTCAGTCACCTGAATAAAATTTGTTGTGTGAGAATGGGGGTTTTCAACCTGTCANGTGTTGAATTTGGACAGGTGACTTCTCTTGATAAACAAATGTACAGATTTTATAAGATGTGTAGTAAAGATTCATTTTACAGTTTCGTTTGGAGTTATTTTGTTTGTGGGCAGTGTGTGCAGTCAGGATATTTGTTTGTAAACGGAAGGAGTTCAATTTTTTTTGAAAAGCTTCTATCCGAGAATTAATATCCTTTTTCTCTGAAAACATGCAAATCTAAGCAAGGAGAAAAAATATGGATATTTCATTTTATTTACAAAATATACATCTTGACAATAATGATAATGATTCACCATGCAAGCATACTCTGGTTTCAATACGGATATTGCTTGACAAGTTCTATAACTGCACTGCAACAAAAGTACAGTATTAAAGTATGTCAATATATTTGCAGTGCTAAGACCACTTGTCTTTCTATTACATTACAACACAGATCTGTGTAGATCCTGAAATGAATGCTTTACATGATATAATGTTAAATATGATATTTTAAGCTGGTTTTAATATGTTTAGAGCAGTCCTATGGTCCCTTTCATTTTAAAAGGTATTATTGTTCCGCTCCTCCAGTGTTTATTGTTTGGACAATGTTTACACTGTTTCTGTGTCACCCATTAGTTTGGTTATGATTGTATATAAAAGAAAAACAGGTACATTTCACTGGTGAATCCATGTCATGCCCTGCCTCTCTCTCTTTCCTCAAATATTGTCTTAATTAATCAAAGAAAAAAATTAAACTGTTTCCATGACTCCCCATGGATTTGGTTGGTGACTGGCCATGCGCATTTGATTCCAAGCCTTCCTGTGCGTCTTCAGTCCCATCTCTGCAATTTCTACCTTCCTCTCCCAGCTCTTTACTTTCTTGTGCATCTCATACAAGTCTGCCCTCTCGCGGACATATTCCATCACCTCTGGCACGCGATAGTCACCAAGCTGTGTGCGGAGCTTGCGATTGATCTTCTCTGCACCTGCTCGGTCCTGGAAACCAGTTGATAAGATTTTTAGGCTTTAACTTACATGCACACACACATGCACATGTTTAAGCAGAAGAAAATTAATATACAAAATATAGTATGGACTTTCAGAGCATTATAAGGTTTTCATGGAAGTAGTACGATTCAACCAATGTTGCTGCAATGAAAAAAAGAACATTAACTGCTCTTTAAAAAAATTATATATATATACTCCAACTACTTTGTCAAAGTCTGAAAATAGATAAAATTACCGTCTCTACAGTGACTGTTTCACTGTCAATTCTGGCCAACAGATCATTTCTTGATGCAATTTCAGCTTTAAGTCTCGTTGACTCCAGTGTTAATGTGCTGAGTTTTTTCTGAAAATAAGACAATTATTTATGATACCTTATGTTAAATGTGGCTTGAGGAATACTTTGTATTTCTTTTTTCATTAATATATATTTTTTAAAATTTCTTTTGTTTTAATTCCATGAAAACAAAAGAGCTAAAGTGCTTTATTCAAAGAAATTGAATGGTCTTTTCAGTTCTTTTAGAAAGCTTGGGACACAAAGCCACCTACATAAATTGCAAACGTCTGCATAGCTTAAAGATGGCCATGATATTAAAATGTCTGAAAATCAAACGTGCACCAAATACCAATAAGGCAGTAACTAAAGAGTTGACATATTATATCATCTATTGCTTACCTTGTATGTGTTGAGCACTTGCAGTGTATTTCCTGCCATCAGTTTAAGTCTCAGGAGGTCCTGGTTTCTCTCATCTATCTTCTCCAAGTACTGGGCATTCTCAATCTTCAGCTGATTAAAGTCCACTTCATGTAGAACCTCACCCATCTCCTCTTTCTATTACAAATACATCCAAAGTGCCATTAACCAACCAAGGTTTGTAAAATACAATTAAATGCAGTGGAATGATGTAGTTTTTATTAAAATATCATTTAATTACTCAAAAGAGGAGCAGTTTAAAAATGACCAGATTTTACAGTAGTAAAATAAAATTACAAGTATATAAAAATAATAATAACAAACTTAGGTTGATAAAAAACATCAATAAGTCAAAAAATAGGACAAGTCACAAGTGAAATATTTTCAAAAGTAAAATCTAATAAAAAAAATTTTACATGCATGTTTATGTACTAGTAGCTTCCCCACCCCCACCCCACCCTGACAAATATCTTTACAATTAGGTTTCTATAATTCACTTGATCCACTGCCATCATCATTTTATATATGATAAGGAAACAAAACTTGTTGCATTTACTTTTGATATAATGTCTGTCAAATTAGTGGTACATACCTGTTTCAACTGCATTGCTAATTTTTTCTTTTGGACTTTCAGTGTTGAATTCTTTAATCTGAGCTTCTCAATAAGTGTGTCCTAAAGTGACGAAAATCATCATATTTTTAATGTGAAAGTCTTCTTTTCAATTTTTGAAGCCCCAACATAACATGAGAATTTTGTTTACCCATTTTGTCTTATGTTAAAAATAGTAAAAAAAATTGATCTTATTCAAATTTGGTTAAAAAAAAGCTAGGGTGGCCCCAGCACCTCAAATTATAAAGCAATGTTAGGTTTTAACTTAAGTTTTAGAAACAATGACAAAAAAGGCAATTATGAAGTACACGTGAAGAATCTCACCCTAGCTCTGATTTTGTCTTCCAAATATTTGAGCACTCTTTCAGAGATCACTTTTCCCGTTCTTGTGTTCACTGCCCCTTTAACAATATCTCTCTCAAATTCATAGGAGGCTTTCTTGATTTCATTTATTCTGATGTCTGCCTCCTCCATGATGGCCTGCAAAACAACAAAAGTCATAAGAGTTATTTATTATCAGTTTTTTTTTTACTTCCTTCTGTTTTTGTCAGCTTTGAATTTTGCAAGGGCAGCACCAAAATTAAACTCTTTCAGTTTTGGCCCCTCTATGGAAAGTAACATTAACCTCTCCACATGCTCTGCACTTAATCTGCTCCTCGATTTTGTGTGAATTCTGTTTATACAACTAAATCCCCTTTCACAAGGCACATGACTAATTGGGATAACCAGTGCAATAACAACCAACTTGCAAAAGAATGGATACAAATCTTTGTAGTCATCTGTTAACACATGCTAAAAAAAAACATGCTAAATTCATATGCCTGTGAACATGTGCAAGTTGCTAGAACATGGGGTACTCTGCCACCAGACCATCCCTATCGATGACAGACCTTATCATGTGAAAGCTGTAGGTGACCAGGGTCATTGAAAGAATGTCACTAATGGAACTTTCTGAACTTTACTGACATTTACAAAAAAACAAGTAGATAGTGTTACACTGGGGACTGAGGTAAATGTGCGTCAAATGGACGCAATAGTAGTGGCCTAAATTTACGTAAATAAACATCATCAAACAGCGAAATGGACGCAATACATTTTAAATTGGGGGTCAATTTCGATGAAACAGTGTCAGGGACACACAAAAATTGCGCTAACAAGAACCCTGATTCTATATTAGAACCACATAACCCAAATACAGCAAATAAATAAATAACGACAACACCCACCCTATATGTGTCAAGAACACGTTCAGATTCATCTTTCAGTCTGTCAATATCTTCCCTTAATTCCTCAATCTCCCTCTGTGCAATATCACACTTCTGTTCTGCTGTCAGTCTCAGACTTTTGTCGACATGGCTGCTACGTGATTTGGATCGTTTTCTTCCAATTCCACGACCCCCAACATCATGTTGGGATTGGGACGGAGCAGCGTTGACAGAGAGTTGGATACCTTGGAGCTCTTTTGGTTCAACTCGTTTGAAGAACTTTTCAAACATCTGTGTTTCTGCTGCCAGAACCTCATTTGCACGCCTAAAATAATTATCAATAATAAATGTATTGATTATTCACAATCACGTGTACCAAAAAAACATTCACTTTTACCTTCAGGCAGGCACTGGATGATTTAGTATACGGGTTTTTACAACTTTAATGTCAGAAGCGTTTGAAAAAGTCATAATTGCGAATAAATATTATTATTTATTATTTCCGAAACGAAATTCATAAAATAAATGAAGATGAGACAAGTGTAGAAATTCGCCGCGGATATGAAGGATATGTGTCCCTTTCTTCAGACAGTTGATCCATATAACTCTGCATGTAGTACTTACAGAGTTTCATCTAACAGTCTGTCCAACTCATCGTCTGTTAACTCTTGCAGAGGATCATCGTTAGCCTCATTACTGGTGTCAACACTCATCGTCTCTGACTCCGCCATCTTTGCTTCTTTGTGGTCGCTATGGAAATCATCCGGGTGTTTAACAACACAAGAGAAAGCTTAACATATTAAACAGAGATATTAAGGATGCTTTCTTCATAAAATATAGAAAAATCACAGTGTGATTAAAGAAAATCTACTTTGTGTTTGTTAATCTCATCGTTTAAAGGAAGACATTTACATATACACAGAAGCCTATCATGTTTGGAGACCTCTATTAGCAGAAGACTCATTGCTCAGCAGAGGGGTTGCTGTATTGGTCGGAAACCGGAAAATGTCACGAGCCTCGTTGTCGCCTCGCGGGTACCATCCTGGGACGCCATATTGGAGAGTCGGTTGACCAGTATGTCGATATCTAAACCTGTCCAGTGAAGTTCGAGGACACCTAGATAAGCCGGACTCAACATTATTAAGTACACTGAACTTTCATCTAGCCATTATTGCTTCTCTAAGACCCAAACCTTTCTGAAATTAAGGCTCACAGAGACGGGGAAGAAAGGGATGTTGTTTGGTTGTCAAAAAGCACGTTTCTATTGACAGGACAAGGGAAGACTCCATTTCAATCAAAATTGTGTTAAAAATAGCGCTGTCGGCGTACGGTCAGGTT